TTAAATTCTACTGCTTTAGCTATTTAACAGCCCGGGGAGATGTCATTGATATAACAAATGGAGAAAACATCATAAAATAATGATCTTAAAAAATGACAGATTATTTGGCTCTATTTTATTATCATCATCCCTAAGCAGTTAGCAAGCACCACACTAACTCTCTACTAGTGTAGTTGGTATTACAGAAGTCAAAGCTCTACTTTTAGGCTGTTCTTTCTTAATGTAAGTGATCCTCTGGGATTTATGAGAGGACACACCACTGTACCAGGCTATAGGCCATAATGAGAGAACATGTACAAAAAGCCTTCAGAGACATGCAGGGTAATTTCCAGAGTTACAGAATCAGCTTTCTCAACCGTAATTGTAATACATACACAGGAGATTCTAGCAAGAGAACTCTTGGGCACGAGAAAGAGAAAATAAGAATTAGGCCTGGATGAAATCAGACCTTTGATCCACCCACCAGTTATGAATTACAAACAGCGGTTGAAGAGATTTCTTGCATCGACTCAGTGAAGTCCTGCCATTAAGCAAGGGCTTTGCAATAAGCAGTTGCTGGTTAAGCTGTTTGGATCCAATCCGGGCTGTAGCTTTGGAAAGCTGGCAGGAGTATACTTGGCGTAACAAAAAGTAGAACAAACACCGGACTACAAAGCTTCGCGAGCTGTCCAAGGAGTGTGGTGGAGTATTATTTAAACAGCTGTAGCTGTACCTGGGGGCATATAAGTGCTGTAATTTTTTGGAAACCCACCACTTACTGTTTAAGATGATGCCATTGCATATGTATAACTTTAGAATACTGATGTAAAGGAATAAAAGCGGGCATCAGACAGTCCTACAAAAGAAGAAAAGTTTTAAAGGGGTTGCCTTGCATTTAGGTTTTCAAAATTGTTCTATTTTTCTAAAGAGATATATTTCCAAGGATTTTCCTTTTGAAAATTTGCTGCATAGCTATACAGTAAAGAACCCACTCAAATATGTCTGATGTGTGGACAGGGGTCATGTTTTCTCTTTAAGATGTTTCAAGCACCAATAGCAACAAAAGAAGCTGCTTCCATCTGTATAGCATTTCTCATCCCAAGGATACCAAAGAGCTTCACATTCCAGAAGGGACCCACTTCTACTGCTGAAGCACAGCACCTATCTGGGTGACAGATGGCCACCATTATGCTCCAGCAGCCAGCAGAAGTGAATTGCTTTACCAGTCGAATTAAGGAGGGAGTTCAGGTAGATCAGATTATACAAGGCTCAAGTGAACAGACTGTGGCAGGCGTTCTTTAAGGATCTCAGCTTAACATGTCATCCAAAGGACAGCACCTCCTGCAGGACAAGAACTTGGATCACTCTACTGGAGCACTAACACCACTTATTGAGATGTTTCTTTCGAGGACTCCTGTAGCAGCACAGAACAGGCCTGGCCTTACTTACCCTTCTGGGAACTGAAAAGATCATCCAGGTGCCAGGTGCCAAATGAAATTGAGAAATGAAATCAAGAAAGAAAAATACTTCTTAAGAGACCAATATTGTTGTGTCATCAGTATGTCAGAGCTACTTATGGAAAAAGACATAGGTCTTATTTATTTTTACATTATTAACATCTTATAGGCAAAATGGCAAACAAAATGTTAGATATGTAGTTAACATGTATAAAAATGTATCAGGCCCTTTGCTATAAATGTACAAGTTGAATACATGACAAAATAAACACCTTTATCTGATGAGACGAAATTATAAATTTTGGTGACAACTGAGCACCAATAAGTGGCACAGCCTGGAACTGAGCTTGCAGCCTCCAGTCCTTTGTAGTTCTGTCCTTTGTTTGGAGCTTTTACACAATGGAGCGTTCACAAGCATTTAAACAAGCAGATTCTGTGAGAGATGTAGAAAATGTAGAAAGACTACACCCTAAAGAACTAAACTAAAAACAAAAAGCAGAGCCCTGAAAGTGTCCTTTTCAAACCTTAGAATGAAGGAATGTGAATTAAAAATAGTATATACCAGCAAGTACGAGAGAAAAAGACAGGCAGATTTAAAAAAGTATTCAAATTACCTTTACAGTGAAAAATACAGAAGATTGAGCTGACAAAGTGCAATATTTTATTGAGCAATGCTTATGGATGGAGTGTATTCTATTAGTACTACAGCATACATTGTAGGCAGCCTTGCCCTAAAGAGGTTTTTTCCACAATAATGAATTACACAGATTATTACAGACAATAATCTATGGGCACTCCCAAGATGTTTAAAGCATCTATAACGGATCACTCAGGTACTGCTTCTGATCATCGTTCCTTGTACACATGGCTTATTTCATGAAAATTTGCACTAGCACAGTGAGTCACAGAAAATTTGAAATGACGACCAAGTAAAATGGTTAGGAATAAAAAAAAAATAAGTTAAAAACATAGCATCAATTTGTTCTTTTTTGTTTTTTTAAATACATAAAATACAGTTACTGTACATTTACATTGCAACTCTGTTATCATTACTACATCACGTGTAACAAAGCAATGTTAATGTAGAACATACCCACAAGGACAAGCTTGCCTTTGGCAAATAAAAATTAAATGTGCATTAGCCAGGTCTATTTTAATGACTGAAAGGGCAGCAGAACTACAGCAGCTGCCACTAAGTTGAACAAGTAAGTTCACAGCCCAAACACACTCTTCTACAATGTTAAAATTAGACTTGCTGTTTAATCTTTCATAGGACAAACCTCTAAACAGAGTTCATACATTCCTTAATCGCACCAACAGTAAACCTTCCTTTGAGAGCATTGAAAAAAAACTTTCTGTCTAAGTTGCAATCATCGGGTGTAGCTGGATTCTTGACCAATACAAAACTAAAATCTTCTGAAACAATCGATGATCTGCAGCAAGCAGGTTTTGTCCATTGAGTGTTTTCCAACCAATTCAGAATAAGGACTGTTCTTTCAAAAGCAGATATCCTAAGAATGTTTTTTCTTTATAAACTCCAATACAGAATTGTTTTGAAAGAATGGAAATACAGTATCAGCGGGCTATCAAAGTTTCCTGTTTCCCACCTTTGTTTACTTTTCATACAGAGAAAAGGAATAGAATTTGGAAATTGTTACTACATTAATCAAATCTCTAACATGTAATAACAGTGGCAACTCAAAACAGCATACACCAAAGCTACAAGTGTGAAATAAAAACAGGAACAAAATTACGGTGCACCATTTTGTTTTTGTAAAGATTAAAAGGTTAATAAACTCTATGCTGACATTTTTGTTTCTTTAGGTCCACCCAATGTGAGGACTGGCTGTTTTCTATTTTATAAATGTATCTGTGTGCTAGGGATTGGATTTTTAAACTGCTCATAGAATTCGAAGGAAAAACAGTATGCGAGCTTCAGCTTAACCAACCTGTGTATATAATTGTTTTGAAGTGGTTAATTAGAAAGTCATAGTCCTATACCGGTAATTATAGAGTCATGCCTAATAAATATAAAACTGGGGTTTCCGCTAAAATCCAGGTTTTTACAAAATAAAATTTTACTTTTGTAAAACAAAAGATCAAGAGTAATCATAAAAAAATAAGTTGCATTAAAAGGCACAGCTCTTGCACAGTGTGTAAATTGAAAACAATATAAAGCATGCTTAGGATTACTTAGCAAATTATAATCTAAAGTAAAAAGTAGGTATACAATACACAGATTTCTGAAATCAAAGTTCTACGCAACGTGCTGGATTTACAGTACTTTATCCTTTTTATTGTTCAGACAGCGACATCTTCTATGTTCCAAAACACCTACTGCAGTTGAGAATGTTTACTTTAAAATGCCTGCAATTAATATTTGCTATTAAAAATTTAATGTAAAAATATATGGATATATATTTATAAAAAGGAATTTAAGCCTATTGCATGGGTTCAAATAAGAACAGTGAAAGTAGGCACAGTCAACAGGACAACATTCTCACTCCTCTCTCCTGTTGCCCAAAACCATGCTCTGCCCATTCAGTTGGTACAGCATTTCCCTTGTAAGCGTTATATTTGTGCAAAACATGCCAATTAGTTTTTCTTCACACCCTCGTGTGTATTGCAATACATTGCATTTTTTTCTGAATTTCCTTCAATGCGTTTTGTAACTAGTAATGATAAAATGTGCTAAACTAACCGCGTGCCATTAACAGCACAAAGGAGAAAATGGTTTCAGCAGTGATGGCCTTTGAGATATATATATATAGAAAAAGTCTTTCCTTTTCATATCAATTACTCCAAAAAATAAAAAAATCTGTGGGGGCAAGGTAAGTTTTGGGTGTAAATGGACTGCATTTTGGCAAACAAGTACAGGAGAAACGTGAAGGGTTTCTCTGTGGGAAATATTCGGAGAGGAGTGTAGAAGTCAAAATCGCGTGTTGGTAATCGATTTGCTCTGAACGTTTTCGATATCGAGCTCTTTCTCTGCTGTTCGTTAACCCAGGAGGAAGGTGTTGCAAAGGGAGAAATGAGAAAGGAGAGTGGCGTTCAGGAGTGTGAGCTGCATGAATACTGCATTGTAGCTTTCGAGTCCAAGCGAACCAGTCCAGCGCCTCCAAGGCTGAGCTCTTGCCTTAGCGATTAACATGCATTTTCTTCCTTCTCTGTCATTGTCTGTCTGACCTCTTTTTTTCCTTTAGGAGCCTTGTTTTCTTCAAGTCGTCCGTTCGGCTCTCTTCTCTACTCCCATCCCCCCTTCCCCTTCAGTGTTGGTACTGATGAGGTGCTGCCTTCTGGAAAAGCTGATCTTATTACCTCTTTCCTCCAAAAAAAAAAGTTCAGCGATGGGCAAGTCGTACAGTGCGCTGGGGAGCGCCAGGAAGCAGTTTGAAAGCTGAGGTCCCTCAATTTGTCACTTTTCTGGTTCCTTCCCCTCCCGCCCTCCCTCTTACCCT